TACGGGCCTTCTAAAACTTTTCCCGCGCAAGTTCATAACTCGAGGATCTAAGAAGCTAGAAGGCTGAAAACTTGGGGTAATGTTCCCCACCCTAACGGGTATTAGTGGGCTCAGACCCACCCCCCGTGTAAACGTAGTACTCGCGTATGAACCCGCCAAATTTTTTTTCGGGTAAGTTCATAACTTGGGGAAGTGAAAAGCTAGAAGGCTGAAATCTTAGGGGAATGTTCCCCGCCCAAATGGGTATTAGTGGACTCAAATCCAGCCCCCGGGTAAGCGTGGTACCCACATACGGGCCGTCCAAAATTTTTTTCGTGTAAATTAATAACTCATGTACCTGAGAAACTAAAGGAATGCAGTTTAAGAGGATATACCTTGTCCACCTAAGTTTCATTCAGCTCGAACCCAGCTCTCAGGTATGCTTGGTAAACATGCGCGGGCCCGTGAAAATTTTGTTCCAGTAAGTTGCTAACTCAGGTACCAGGGAAGCTAGAAAGTTGAAATTTTAAGGAGATGTTTTCTGACATTTCTGGTGGCCAGTCTTAATTTGTTTAGCTAGAAGCATTTGCCGAAAAAACCGGTGTCGGTAGCAACAAAACTGCGGGGGATGTTTTCTGACAAGTTCTGGTGGCCAGTCTTAATTTGGTTAGCTAGAAGCATTTGCCGAAAAACCGGTGCAGGTATCAATAAAAACTGCGGGGGAACATGCAAAAAACGCATCTTCGCACGGGCAGCCCGTGCGTTGGCCAATTATTTGCTGTTGTGTCCAGCGCGTGGTGTGGATTGAGCTGTTCTGAAAATATCTTGTAACAAAAGCTATTTTCTCTAGTGAGCAAAATGCCCGTTGTGGAAAAGAAGCATCTGAATTATCTCACCGTCAATGCAAAGTCCTGTAGTTGTAATACAGTATTTTGTTTCAAAAAGTTAATGCCATTTTGAAACTGAAGATTTGTGGACACATGGGGATTTTGTATTCTTTGCTTCTTTCTGCCAGTTGCGTAATTGCAAAAATGTGATCAGTGGTGGTAACTCTGATGGTTCACCTGATCCATTTGATCTGCTTGATCATTGGTAGTGCGTTGATCATTGGCTTTCTTTTCTGTGAAAGCGCGGAAGAGATATATGGTTGATTAAGCTTCTTTCGTTTTGCAGTTGCTGAGTCGTCAGGCGCTGTTGAGCAGTCGGACGAAGCACTGTCAGCAACGGAGGTGGCGACTGAGGGGGATCATGACACGACGGAAATCCTTGGTAATGTTGCAGCAATTTTTAGTGCCGATGATGTTGGCATCAGGAGGCGCCGCAAACGTCGTGCACGTGGTGAGCGCCCGAAGCTTAGTGCCAGCAGGTTCATCACCTTCTTGCTTTTAACTCGCGCTTTTGTTTCAGTCTGGCTTATGCTCTTCGTACCACTGGAATGCAGTTTCTTAGCTTTTTTTTCTTTGCAGCCTTGCCAAGAAGCGTGTGCTAGGAGAATGTAGCAGATGCAAAAAGCCGGTTACTGCTGGTGCTCGACAAATGCACATGTTCTTTCATTTGGGTAAAGACTGTAAGGTTGGATTTTGGTAATTTTCATATTGTGAGGGGGAAAAGAGCTGGAAGAAGGCAGTGCGCCAGTTTTTATTACTACATACTGCATAATAAAAAATGGTTTTTATCTTTTTTTTCAGAAAATTTGATTTGTGACAGTATGGTTGTTTGCATCACTGTGAATCGGCTTTTAGGTTTTCCGTTTCCGCTGCACCTATCCGGGTTGCACGGTGGAACACTACAGAAAAGATCAGATGGAAAATCACCAGTCGAAAGTACATGGCAAAATAAACTCACTGTTAATTGAAGATCGAACAGCCGCATTGTTTGACGCATGCCAGGTACGTCTATTTTGCTTTATCGCACTTTTTTCGATTCTTAATTTTTTAACAGTCTGTACTGTCGACTAATCAGTGCTGTTGTTTCAGGAACTTTCAATGCAACTTCTCGGTACAACTGGTAATATGCCCGGTCCAACAGCGGCAAAAGCACAAAAAGCTTACGAAGCGATTCTTGCTGCTCAGGCTTTACGCTCAATCCAGAAGAAAAAAGCTTCAGAAAAGGTCTTAGCTTTACGGTTTTTTTTTTTGTACAGCGTAGTATTTTTGTTTTGAATTGTGCTTCTGTTTTTATGTGTCCATATCCTACCTTCACAGTTTATATTTGCACATTTTTTTTTTTTTTT